GAGTCCACCTTGCATCGAAGACTCCGATTTGCCTCCCAGAGCGTGCGTGCGACATCTACCAGGGCCAGACCAATCGTGGCACTATTTTGGGGCCCGTGGTGCTCGGCAACCCCGACAACGAGTGGGTCGACACCGTGCTGAACAAGAAGAAGATCTATGGCTCTTGGCGCATCCCAGTGGGAGGACTATGCCCCAACGGAGATAAGGAGAAACGCCCTGATGCATCGGTAGAGCGCGTGTTCTTCAACTCGCTCCCATCGACCTTCTTCGAGGCCCTCTTCAAGCGTTTCTACGTCAAGGTCGTCTACGACATGACCCCTGAATGCGGCGGGGCGGCTTTCGCCTGCGCCAAACTTAGGATTGGATACTACGGTCTGTGCATGACCACCGAACATGCGGAACAGATCCGCTCCATGACGCGGACTTCCGTGCTTGCCGAGATGAAGACCACTGGCAGCCCGATCTACAGCACCGCGATCGCCGCCATCATGAAGTCCACTGGGAATGATCCTAAGGCTGAGCCCAAGAAGAGGTCGAGGCCTGGCAAGAAGGAGGGCGAAGACGGCAATCCCGAGGGGGGAAAGAAGCCTAAGAAGCTGGGGGCGGACGATGCCGCCGGCAAGAAGGACACGACGGCTAAGGCCAAGAAGAAGCCCAAGAAGACGATTGACCAAGACGGCGAGGGTGGAGACGGGTCGATTTCCTCGCTCTCGGACGGCAGCGCGTGGGATGACAAGGAGGATCCTTGCTCAGATGGTGGCGACTTTCGCTGAGGGCTGCGCCAGAGCTTGCGAGTTTCAATTTGAATGATTCCGATGGAATCGTTGATCACAAGCCCTCCCTGCGGACCAGTCGCCGGGGTCGACAGGTCGCCAGGGGTTTACAGGGGGGGCGTCTGCAGCCAATCTCTTTTGCACTGGATTGGATAGATAGTGCTGCTCGAAGCAACCTAAATCATGAGCTCACCAAGCAATCGACTTGCGTGATGGACGTCTCGGTGGTTTCTAGTATCAAGCGGCCTGCGGCCTATTATTCCGCCACTGCGCCTGGATCAGAAGCTTCTTGGGGTCTGTAGGGGAACCTCTCTGGATCATCTGGGGAACACTCGGGGGCACCCTTGGGGCCTCCAGGGGGTTGGGCTCGGGGGCTCCCGTGGAACTCACTCTCGGGGGCTGCTGGCGGTTACTGGGGCAAGGGGCAGGCTTGGACTGACAATTCGCGTTCCCCCTCTTAGGCTCCTCTTGGGGCTCCTTGCGGCCCTCTTTGGACTCTTGGAGGCCCCTGGCCCGTCTTAACTCGGCGATATGTCCTTCTTGGGGGGCTCTTGGGCCGCCGTCTTGAGTCCATCTTGGGCGTCTTGGAACGCTCTTGGCCAGTATCAAGGCCCTCTTGGATAGTCTTGGGGGCCTCATTGGACCCTCTTGGCCCGCGGCCTCCTGAGGAAATCCAGCCCTTGGGCCTCAAAAGGACCTGAGGACTCTCCAACTCGTACCTCGAAGCACGGTTGCGGCTCATTGAGAAAAGGGTTATGTTGTGAAACGTGTTGTCTTCAATCGATTCAGATATTATCCCAGTGCGACCCTACCTAGGAGTTGGAGCATCTAGGAACGCAACCTATACATCTACACCGACGACTACATGAACATCTACACCTGCATCTACATATACATCAACATCAACAGCGAGACTCACATCTACATTAGCATCCACACCTACATCTACACCTACATCTACATATACATCTACAGCTACACCTACATCCACATCTGCACCTACACCTACATCTACATATACATCTAAACGTTCGCGTTGGTGTTGCGTTTGCGTTGCATGCTATGCTATGCTATGATATGCGATGATATGCTATGCTATGCTATGCTGTGCTAATGCTGCGCTGCGCTATGCTGCGCTAAGCTAAGCTAAGGTAAGCTAAGCTAAGCTATGCTTCGCTATGCTATTATATGCTGCGCTATGCGATGCTATGATATGATTATGCTGCGCTATGCTATGCGATGCAAGGCTATGCTATGATATGCTATGCTGCGCTGAGCTATGCTAGGTTGTGCTATATTGCGCTATGCTATATTATGATATGCTGCGTTATGCTATGCTGTGCTATACTATGATATGATGTGCTGTGATGTGCTATGCTATGCTGCGCTGTGCTATGCTAAGCAATGCTATGCTATGCTATGCTGCGATACGCTATGCTATGCTATGTTATGCTGAGCTATGCTGTGCTATGCTATGCTTGGCTATGCTATGCTATACTGTATTGTGCTAATGCTGCGCTGCGCTATGCTGCGCTGGGCTCAGGTAAGCTAAGCTATGCTAACCTAAGCTAAACTAGGCTAAGCTAAGCTAAGCCAAGCTAAGCCAAGCTAAGCTAAGCTAAGGTAAGCCGAGCTAAGCTAAGCTATGCTAAGCTAAGCTAAGCAAATAAGCTAAGCTAAGCTAGGCTAGGCAAAGCGGGTGATCCTGGGGGGACCGCGGGGCGGGGACTGGGGGAACCGCCCAGGGCGTTTTACACTGCCCGGCCCCATTAAGCAAACAAAGTAAGAACCCTCTAGGCAGAGCCTAGGTAGGGAATAATCAATGACTGCTGTTGTGATGGTTGTCGGATCGAATCTAGCGCGTGAGAGCGCTGAGGCTGCCAAGTTTACCTCGAGAGATCTGGGGTGCACCACGCACCACAACTGAGCTAATATCATCATACATCCGTCGATCCTTCCCTCTCCCTCTGCCGCCTCACACAACACCTCCATTCATCATCATCCTCCTCCTCCTCCTCATTCTTCTCCGCGTCCTCCTCCTCTGCCCCCCCACCAAACGGGGGGATATGGGGTGGCCGCCCCGACAGAGCCGCTCGGGGGCCAGGGCCTCCAAGCCCGGCGCCCCCGCCATGGGCGGGCTTGGGTCGCAGGGGGCCGCCGTCGCCGTCGTCGCCGTCGTCGTGCCGTCGCCGCCGTCGTCGATCATCATCGTCGCCGTCGCCGCCGTCGCCGCCGTCGCCATCGTCGCCGTCGTCGTCGCCGCCATCGTGGTGCTCGTCGATCGTCGAATGTTTTCGGTTCCCCGTGGCTTTCTGTGATTTCGCGGGGACTCTCGGAAGTCCCCGGTGCTCTCAGAGGCTCCCGGGGATTCCGCCGGGCGCGGGCGGGCGACCCCGCCTGCTCCGGCGCCCTCCGAGGGAAGGAGGAGGAGGGGGGAGCATGAGGATGATTAGGGGGATGGGGAGGAGTCCGCCCGGCCACCGCAACTATCTTACATTAGACCCACACATGTCACCCGAACCTCTAGTGTCAAAGGAGCCAGGAGGGGGGAGGGGGAGGAAAAGGAGGAGGAGGAGGAGGAGGATTTAAATGTGCGCACAGATGATCCCTCGGTGGATTACTTGTAGAACCCAAAAAGATAAATGGGCATTCGAAAAACGTTGTTAGTGATGAAGGGATGCTAAGATGGCCGCGTGTGCGTCCCCGCCAATGAATCAGCTCCCTCAGCTCCCGCTAAGACCGACACAGTCTTCCCCCCCCCCCCCCCCTTAGCAACAGGGCGACCTTCTCGCGCAGGTAAAAAAAAAAGCCGGGGGCGCGGGGCCGAGATTATGCCGGGAGCTGCCGCGGGCGCTGCGCCTTGCTCGGGGGGCAGCGCGCGCCCGTCGGCCCCGCCCGCGCCCCTGCCCGGGGCTCCTTTCGGTTCCGCCGGCTCGATGCGGTGTCGAGGGGCTCGACCTGACCACGGCCTGTGCTTAAGTCGGGCGTGTCCCCCTACAGGGGGATTTTAATTCGACGAAAAATAAAAATATCAGTTTAAAATAGTAAAGGAATAATACAAACATAGTCAGGGGATTTTGTTTTTCATGTTTTGTTTGCCTTTTTGGTGTATTGTTTGAGATTTTTCTATGTTTCGTCGAAAATCCCCCTGTAGGGGGACACGCCCGACATAAGCCTGTGCCCTAGTGGCCCCCAGCCTGTGCGGAGGTCCGCGGGACCGTGACACGCGGGAATCCCGCACCCTCCACCTTCCCCCCTTGCCCGCCAGACCCCATCCGAATCGGATGTTGCGCCTCGGCCTGATCCCTTGCATCCCTGATTCCTCGAGCTCGATTCCTCCGGCTTTCTCAGGCGATCGTAAACATGAATTAAGGGGGCGTGGATTAGCGACGGGTCCCGTTTCCGCGGGAAAATCGCAGACTTCCGCCGCTGAGCGAGGCGACACCGGCCGCATTTTGGGGAGGGCACCTCAGCACCTCCCCCGATCCGTGGATTTGGCGACCGCGCGCCAGATCCATTGACCGCTAATCCATGTTTGCGCGCCCCCCACTTTCGATTCCTCCGGCTCGATTCGATGTCGATGGATTCGATATCGATATCGATGTCGATGTCGATTCCTCCGGCTCGATGCCGATTCGATTCGACTTCGGATGCCGATGTAGGATCCCATTTCTCAATGGAGGCCTACTAGCCTGCCGATGTTTAATTACCGTTTCGACGTTTCCGGGCTCGGCTGCCGTTTTCCGCCGATCCGATTCATTCCGATCGTCGATCCGACTGATCGATTCGACTTTGGGCTCTCCCGCCTCACTGTCGGGGGCGGCAAAGAGGGGGGGGCTGACTAGGGGGGGGGGGTATCATGGCAGGGGCCATGTTTTTTCCCCAGATCTCATGGCGCCTCTTCTTATTTCCTTACGTCCCTGGCACCCCACGCTGCGCCGCGCACATGCCGCCGGCCATGATCTGCACCCCCCTCTTGGACACCTCCCTCTTGGCCGCTCCCGACCTTCCCCAGGGGGCAGCTTTCCGTCCTGTAGCCACGGCTGGCCGCAGAGTAAGGATGAGCAACTCGTCCTAGGTTACCCTTGCATCCTTGCCCCTTCGGTCCATCCCTGGCAACTTTCGCTGGCCAGCCGCCGGTCATGATTTGCACCCCCCCTCTCGGACGCCCCCCTCCTGGCGCTCTCCCGCCTCACTGGGAGGGGCGGCACCGGCGGGGGCGCCGAGGCAAGCTGCAGGAGCTGCTCGCGGAGGCGCCGCGCCGGGGCCGCGCCGCCGCCCGGGGGGGTCGGGCCGGACGTCAGTCCGACGTCAACCCGACTTAGTCCGACGTAAACCCGACGTAGATACGATGTGGAACCGACGGGAATCGGGTCTCCCTTTGGCGCGCGAGGCCTCCAGGAGTGTCTTCATAACGCCGTGGTGTGGTCTGCGAGCTGCGTGGGTTGGGACTGGAGTCGGGCCGGACGAAAGGGAGGGATTGGGAAAGGGGGGGATACGAAAGCTGCTGCGTGCAGTTGGTTTCGGCCACACCGAGGGGCCATTCCTCGATGCGTGGCCGCCTCCGGCGCCGGGAGGTGCCAGGAAAATCAGCTACGCGAGCTGATTCTCACGCCCCCTTCCCCTGACCTTCAGAGAGCTATTTTTTAGCACGGGAGGCCTAACAACACCCAAAAAAAAAAAAAACGAAACAGCCTAAAGCCAAGACATATAATAGCTATGGGATAGGTTGTTAAGTCGCGTGCTATTTTTAAGCCCTCCTGGAAGGTCAGGGTGAGCTGATTCTCACCCCCCCCCTTTGCTATCCCTCTCTTTCGCCAGGCCCGAGGAGGGGCCGAGGACGAGGGGCCGGCGAAGGCTACCGAGTCCACGCGGAGCGCAAGTCCACACGGAGTGCTCAGTCTCCGCGTGGATGGCTTCCGTCTGGACTTCGCCCCTGGAGGTAGGATTAAGTCTGGCCTGTCCCCCTACAGGGGGATTTTCGACGAAAAATAAAAGATACCCCAAGAATACCCCAAAAAGGTTAAAAAAATACTCCCAAACTAGTCCCCAGACTATTTTTGGACTGAGTTTTGATTATTTTTGGGGTATGTGTTATTTGTCGTCGAAAATCCCCCTGCAGCGGGACAGGCCCGACTTAAAGGTAGGAGGTTGCGTTCAGACCGAGGGAGACCAGGCAATGAGAGAAGCGCGCTGCGCCCCCGAGATCCTGGCGTCGCAGCTTTTGCACAGCGGGCCATGCTGCCTGGCTTCGGGCCCCGAGACCATCACAGATCGATCCGACTTTGAATCTGCAGAAGGAAGATGGGTCCTACAGTCAACCCACAGAGTGAGGATGATTGACTTCCCAAGCGTATCCTTGCATCCTTGCCTCTTCGGTCATCGTCCGTCCTTGACTCCAACAGTTCCGATGGCCAGCCCCGCTCGAAGAGCCTCGGCGTGGGCGTCCAAGGCCATTGCATCCTTACCGCGCATCCTTATGATACGGGTTTGGTGTAGGGCTCCGACTGACGTTTGTCAGGAGGGAAAAAACACAGACACACTTAATCGTCGATTTTCAGGAACATATGGGCAAACATGGGAAGTGTGGGGGAAGACACAAACCAAGAAGATATGGTAAAATATGGGGAATCCTTTTATTTGTGTGCATTTCTTTGTGTGTCCCAGGGCCCCTTCAGACTGGCGCTGTCTTCGCATTCTCGCGCCGTCGGATCTCTCGTGGGGGGCCCGCCCATCGCGAGGTGTGCCCGGTCGCCCTGGAGATCCTGCACGTGCGGGTGGACGAGCTGTACATACAGATCCCCTGGAGCCAGCTCGGGACGCAGTCCGTGGTCCCGCGCGCCGCCTCTCTCGGGTGTTGCTAGAAGTACCCCTGGCCCAAGGTACGGTAGAGGGAAACAATTACTGAACACTCCCCCTCCCCCCCAACTCAATGTTGGCACGCGCGGGGGAGACTGCGGTCGAAGTGCATCTCATCAGACCCACCGCCAACTTTGAACATCGGGGGGAGGGGGGAGGGGGGAGGCGTTGACAGATGAATTTGGCATGAGTGTGCGCTAATTTGTTCCGAGGCCTGTGCCCCTAGCATTCTCGGGGCGGCCCGGACGGCTCCCTCACGAGGCCCAGGGGGTCCCAGGGGGCTCTAGAATGGAGCCACAAGTTGGGGGCACCTTGGGCCAGGGGCACCTCTAGCAACACCAGACTCTCTTCCTTCGGGGAAACGTGGGGCTCGAGTGCGCCAAAACCCGGGCCTGCGGACGCTTCCTGACGAGCGCGTCCTGGATTTTGGCGGTGCAGCTTCCGTTGGATGCTTGCAGCAGATACTCGCGTCAAGTTCCGGGCTGGTTCTCGTTGTTTTCATGGTGGCCCCATCGGGCCAACTTGAGTCCCCAGAATCCGAGCCTTATGTCTCTCCGATTCTGCTGCTGTTCCTGCTCCCCTCACTTCTTAAGTCTTGGTCCTCCTCCTCCTTCCTTCACTGGAATAACAAAAGGCTTTCCTCACACGAGCTTGTGGAGGGCCGCTTGTTTTTCTTGGATCCGCGCTGGACCTCTCTGGCGGCGCCCCCGTCGCCGCCCCTCGCGCGCTCCGCGTGGCCAGGGAGCCAGGGAGAGGGAGAGGGGCCCTTCGCGCGGACCTTCATCAGTTCATGCTCGTGCTGTTGTTATTGTTGTTGTTGTTGTTGTTGCTGTTGTTGTTGTTGGTGTTGTTGCTGTTGCTGTTGCTGTTACTGTTGTTGTTGTTGGTGTTGGTGTTGTGGTTGCGGTTGTTGTCGGTGTTGGTGTTGTTGTTGTTGATGTTGATGTTGTTGATGTTGATGTTGTTGTTGGTGGTGGTGTTGTTGTTGATGTTGTTGTTGTTGTTGTTGTTGTTGTTGTTGTTGTTGTTGGTGATGTTGTTGTTGTTGTTGTTGTTGTTATGGTTGTTGTTGTTGTTGGTGTTGTTGTTGTTGTTGTTGTTGTTGTTGTTGCTGTTGTTGTTGTTGTTGTTATGGTTGTTGTTGTTGTTGTTGTTGTTGTTGGTGTTGTTGTTGTTGTTGAATATTATTACTTCTAAAGAATAATTATTGTTGGGCCCCCTGGTGCACGCCCCCCTCGCCGCGCCTAGGCCGCAGCCTCATTTTCATAATTTTCGTGAGGAAGTCTCAGGCAAAACGATGTGTACCAGATCCGGTTGTGTTGTTACGATCGGTTTTCCCTTGCAAAAAATAAGCTAAAGTGGACATTTCTTGTTCTAACATAACCAAACTTCAAGAATCCCTTGCAAAAAATAAGGTAAAGTGGACATTCGCGCGCGCAAGACGAAATCCTTCCAAAACCTTAGTTTCGTAGCGATTTTAACATAAAAACATCAAAAAACCAATGGTTTTTCAAAAAAAATGTCAAAATTTCATCCCGCGCGCTCTTGCGGATTCGTAGGAAACCCAACACTTTTTAAACATTTCTGTCAAACGGGCTTTTGCGAGCAACTTTTTCGAACTTCTGCAACAACGGTTGCGCACCTGCCAGGGCCATCATCCCTGTCAAATAATACCATGCGGGACACATTCGTTTTTTCTTCGCGCGCGCACGCCGTCGTCGTCGGCCGCGGGGCCCTGAATAGTAGCCACGGTCGTCCGCATGCCACGAAGTGAAGTGTCCGAACGTCATAGGGCGGGAAGCTGGGTGTGGGTGGTGGCGAAGAGTCGTTTGGAAATTTGGTAGAGCTTGAACCGGCCCCCCCACAAAGTGGGGGTATTGCCCGCCTCCTATGAAAACCCTGGCACTGGTGAGAACGGAGTGTCCCCACGTGCTAGTAATTGTTGTTGTTGTTGTTGTTGTTGTTGTTGTTGTTGTTGTTGTTGTTGTTGTTGTTGTTGTTGTTGTTGTTGTTGTTGTTGTTGTCGTTTCTCCTTTCAGCTCCCTCCCTCTGTATCCTCCTCGCGTAGCATCGCTCGGCCTCTGGAGGCCCGCGTGGCGGCCCTGGGCGCCAGGCGGGGCACGGGGCGCGACCTGGGGGGGCATGGATCCTCAGCGTGGGCGCGCACCAGGATCGGAAACTGGAACATATTCGGATCGGGCGAAAGGGGGGGGGGGGAATGGGGGGGTTACGATATGTGCTGCATGTAGCTGGCTTCGGCCCCACCGAGGGGCCCATTCCTCGATACATAGCCGCCTCCGGCGCCGGGAGGCGCCGGGAAAATCAGCTACGTGAGCTGATTCTCAAACCCCCCTTTGCTATCCCCCCCTTTCGCCCGGCCCGACACATACACTGCCAGTGGCGGGTTTTGTTTTCATCCCAGGTCCCAGGATTCTTCTGAGGATCGCTGGCGACGTCCGGGTGGCGCGGTGTACATTTCGCCTCCCTTTTCCAAGGGAAGCAGCGACAAATGTATACAACGGGATCCCGTATACACCAGGATCCGCCTTCCCGTGCGAATTTCAGCGCAGGGGCGGAAGAAAAACGCGTCGGTGTATAGAGTTCGTTTCCATACAGGAGGCCACCTGCGCCCTTCTCGGGGACAATGGCTCGGGGGGCGAGGCACCGACGCCCAGTGGCCCATTGACCGCTGACAGGGGCCCGGACCGACAGACAACCCCGCCCATGAACGTGGGTTCCGCGGTCGGCGATCGATCGGCGAGGCATCGCCGATTCCAGGTCGATGTTTCCCTCCTGTTGAGCCTTTCCCGCCCTTGTCGTTCCTCCGCAGTCAGGAGGCCTCTGATCGGATGGGCATGGCGAGGTCTAAAATTGTCGAGAGGATTGGTTGGTGGTGGATTGTTGTAACACGTTTTGGGTTTAGTCTTGGAGCCTATGGATGCCTCGGGAAGCCTTCGGGAATCACATAAGCTCGGCGAGGTGGAGCAGACACGGATGGAAGGCGAGCACCAGAAAACGAATGATGGACGTTTGGATTGGGGTGGTAGCAGGTCGGAGTATGCAATGCCGAAAGTGCGGATCTTTGACTCATCAGGCAAATCTTGCATGAAGGCAAGCCGATCATCTGCTCGGGGCGCCACTGTAAAGGGAATGTCGGCGACGGTTGTCGTCCGAGACAGACAGACAGACAGACAGACGCCATGCACAACATAGGTGCGTTGGCAGAAGATGTGAGACATACTAGACAATTGGGTGAAACGGCAAGCGTGCTAAGCATAGGAGGAGGAGGAGGAGGAGGAGGAGGAGGAGGAGGAGGAGGAGGAGGAGGAGGAGGATCGCTTGGAGGATCGATCGCCAGGGACATTGGCAGGCGGTGGATATGGATCTAGTCGGACCCTGGGGTGGGTGAAAAATATCCGTGTCCACCGCCTGCCGAGGTTCCGGAAGGTTGGATCCCCCAGGCGGTGGTGTTGGGTAAACCCACGTCTCGCATGTCGTTGCAGCACACGCGAGAAGTTTTGGCATATTTGCGTTACCCAGGTGTGCGAGAGAGAGAGAGAGAGAGAGAGCGAGAAACAGGGAGAGAGGGAGATAGAGAGGCTAGGGGGCTCCGAGCGAGACGGCTCATTTGGCCTACGAGGCACAGGGCCGAAGTCGCCTCCTTCAGCAGGCACGGCTTTCGCGCAGTTCAATTTGGAGCTAGTATTTGGCTCGGCGGCACCTTCTGGCACGCTCATGTTTTGGAAAGTGCTCTTCCATGGGCATGATTGTCATTCCGAACATGTGTCTCCTGCGCCTCACCTTTGCAGTTGCAATTGCAACGCTTGTTGTGTGCATCTCGATTGGAGTGCAGACTGCTTGTTCGCGTCTTCACTGCCAAGGTCGTCGGGGCCAAGAATGTCGATGTCGGATTCAACCTGCACTGCGAGGATGAGGAAAGCTCTCTGCAATAGCGCAAGCGGTCGTACTCCAAGTCCCTTATTAGTCGACCCCCGGGTCCGGTTTTTGAAGGCGACTTTTTTGTGACTGGGGGGGTCCGGTTTATTCGGGCGTTTTCTTTGGATGGGAGCTAAGGGGTCCGGACATCAAGGCGCCCCGTCGAAGAGGGGGGTCCAGAATATTAGGTCGCATTCGGAGGGGGGGTCCGGTTTTTTTGGGGGGGGTTCGAGTAATAAGGGATTGTGAGTGTGCGCGCATGTCTGGCGTCGTCGTCGGCCTCGTGCTTGCGTTGCTTCGTCGGCGACCCCAAAGGGGAAGGGGGAAGGCAAAGGGGGCGGGTCTTCACAGAACGGGGCAAAGGTCGAGCCTGTCCCCCTACAGGGGGATTTTGGACGAAAAATTCAAAATAAACAAAACAGATTCCCAAATAATCCGAAAATATTCAAGACATCGTCCCCATGTTTCTTTTTTTAACTATTTTTGAAGAGTCCCCCTGTAGAGGGACAGGCCCGACTTGACCCTCGGAGCAGATTTGCCGTCCTTCCCCGAAGCCACAGAGGGGGGGCTTCTCAGAAGGCGCGAGGGCTTCCGAGAAGTCCCGCCGGGCTTCTGCCGAGGCCTGCTCCCTCTGCCTCCCCCCACCTGGGCGCGCCGCGGACTCTCTTGCGCGACCGGCATCAGCCTCCCGACGTCCTCGTCCCCGCGGTTTCTGGCACCTGCTGCTGCGGCTGTCCTCGACTCCGGAAAGAATGGGTACAATGCCCAACAGCAGTTCTTGTTCATTTTGAACCGGATTCGCTGTCCACGCCGCCGCGGCCTGTGTCCATTTGAGGCAGAAGCCGCCCGCCCAACAGCGGCCGCTGTTGGTTTGGGACAACATTTGTTGTTGGGCATTGTACCCATTCTTTCCGTACCCATTTCGGGCGTCCAAATCGACGCTGCTTGCGGCTTCCCGTGCAGCTCGTTGGCCACGTCGGTGGGGGGGGGAGCGGAGTGCCTGCACACCGAGGTGGAGCCCACAGGATGGGCCCCATCAGGATCGGGATGTTCAGGTGGACAGCCTGTCGCCCCGACGCCTCAAGGGCGGGCGGAGATGGCCTGCAGGGCTGGTGGCTGGCGGTGGCGCCGACCTTTTTCGGTGCCTGCGTGAGGGGTCCCGCAAACGAACCTGCGCTCCCCCCCCAAAGTGCAAGTGAGCACGTCGCGCATGACAAGAGGAGGAGGAGGAGGAGGAGGATGACGGTGACGATGGAGGGGAAGAAGAGGAGGAAAAGGAGGAAGAGAAAGAGGAGGAGCATGAAGATGCGGAGGTAGGAGGCTGAAGGAGGCTGAAAGCGGCTGAACGAGGCGCGGAGGAGGAGTCAACAACATCGAGAGAAGTCATGACTCGATCCGCAGAGCCCATCTCTCATCTGCAGTTCTCGCAGCCGGATCGATCCGTGACAGCCCCGTGGCCCGATGAGGGTCCACATGTTGCCCAGTGTGGATAAGAGTTGCGACACCAGGATCTCTGGGCCTTCCGCCAGGAGTTCGAGGGGCTCCGCTTCCCGCCTCTTCCGGGTCAGGAGGCAGCTTCCACGAGGTTGGATTCGGCATCGGCGTTGGTATGCCCGCAGTCGAAGACAGGTTGAATCCGGCATACTTCCATTCAATTTCGTTCAATCCTGTTTCATTTGAGCAGATCGGGCTCAATCGTTGACCCCGATTGGTCCCGCGTAGTCCTGGGCTCACTCTGGACCAATCCTGTCTTGATGGCCTCCCGATCGGGCCTCATATCCTCGAATCGTTCCCACGAAGACCTCCCAGCCGTTGCTTCCTCTCCTTCCTAACCCCAGCCGCAATGCGCGGCCAGCTCTGCCACGATATCGCGTATTGCGACAAAAACTGTTGCCACGCACGCCAGGATCTCAGGGCCCTCCACCCTGAGGAGGTGTCCTCCCTCCTTTCTTCCAAGACCCCTGCCTCCACACTCCTGCCTGCCCATCATCTCCCCTCGCTCCTTCTCCACCTCATCGCCCTCCCTCCTCCCCAGTCGTCAAGTGGTAGACGCACTGATGGGGCGTTTCGGGGCCATGCCGTGTGCGGGGCTTCGGCTCCGAGCACGGCGTGGTTGCGCCTCGCCTCGGATGCGTGTTCCGACGGGCTTCCTGGTATGGCAAGATAGTGCTGAACCCTGGGCAGGAGGTGCTCCATGTCTCGCCTCCTGACCCTGGCCGCGTTCTGCGTGGCCCTATTGCTTACGTCTTCTGCTGAGTGGCGGCCCGACACAGTACTCTAACCGCAACGAGCGTATACACAGAGGCACCCTCCGACGAGCCTTGCGTGTATCTCCAGGGGGGTGGCGGTGTTTAAGGTCGCTGGTTCTCCAGAGTGTTTTTGAGGGCGTCTGTACACGTGATGCTGTGGCGGATTCTGCATCGGGTATCGCGTTCTGCCTTACTCGGGCCCCCGCCCACGGCCGTCGTCTCGGGGTGGCGCGGCCCCACTCGTGTTTTGCTCCTGGGAGCTGGCCCCGCGTGGCCGCGTCGAGTGGCGGGACCTCGCGAGGTCCCGAGCGCCACCCACCCGGACCACAGCGTCCCGCTCGAGCACGCACGCAGCGAAGCCGCGCGCCGCTCCCCCGGGCAGGACGAGTGGCGGGACTACATCGGCCCCATGCTGCGGAAGCTCCGGCACGCCTCCCAGGACGCAGGGCGTACCGCTCGCGGCCGCTGCTCCGAGCCCTTTCCGCCGTCGCCGCGGACACGCGGCGGGATTCGCTCCGAGATCATGGGCCTGTTGTCCACCACCACCACCATAAGTTGGAGGGGGGAAGGAGGTGGAGGAGGAGGAGGAGGAGGAGGATGAGGAGGAGGAGGAGAATTATTCGAATGGAGGGGGGGGTCGTGGCGAGTCCGAGGGGAAACCTGGTCCTCCCGCAAATCGGGGCCCTCTTGCATGCCGCTTCGGGCGCTCAGCGCGGCTTGAAAAGGGGAGAATGTCTTGCAAGCAACCAGTCGTAGTCTAAATCAAGTCGCTCTAATCGGGTTTCTGAGGTAGGTGTTTCCGTGAGAGCGCTCCTGAAGCATATGTAGTAGTAGTAGTAGTCGTAGTAGTAGTAGTAGTAGGTAGTAGTAGTAGTAGTAGTAGTAGTAGTAGTAGTAGTAGTAGTAGTAGTAGTAGTAGTAGTAGTAGTAGTAGTAGTAGTAGTAGTAGTAGTAGTAGTAGTAGTAGTAGTAGTAGTAGTAGTAGTAGTAGTAGTAGTAGTAGTAGTAGTAGTAGTAGTAGTAGTAGTAGTAGTAGTAGTAGTAGTAGTAGTAGTAGTAGTAGTAGTAGTAGTAGTAGTAGTAGTAGTAGTAGTAGTAGTAGTAGTAGTAGTAGTAGTAGTAGTAGTAGTAGTAGTAGTAGTAGTAGTAGTAGTAGTAGTAGTAGTAGTAGTAGTAGTAGTAGTAGTAGTAGTAGTAGTAGTAGTAGTAGTAGTAGTAGTAGTAGTAGTAGTAGTAGTAGTAGTAGTAGTAGTAGTCGTCGTCGTCGTCGTCGTCGTCGTCGTCGTCGTAGTAGTAGTAGTAGTAGTAGTAGTAGTAGTAGTAGTAGTAGTAGTAGTAGTAGTAGGAGTAGGAGTAGGAGTAGGAGTAGGAGTAGGAGTAGAGTAGGAGTAGGAGTAGCTAGAGTCGAGGAGTCTAGCCAGTCTCGAGCCAAGCAGGCAGCAAAGCATGGGCCCAGTCCCACCCGCCCTCCCACAACATAAGAAGCAAAGCTGGCACAACTGGGGGCCGAAGTCACACCGGCCAGCCGGTTTGGTACAGCTGATGCGGCCGCGATGGCGGTTGCCGACGGGAACTGGCGAGCGCGTGTTGAATGCCGCGCACGCATTGCCAGACGAGTCGAGAATGGCCTGGTACACCGCAGGAAGCCAGAGGTGGCCGGAGGAAGCCCGACGGTCTGACAGGACACCCCACAGCATTTTTGTGAAAAAGCATGGGTTTTTGATGTTTTTATGTTGAAATGCTTGCAAACACACGGTGTTCGGTAGGATTCTGACATGAACGCGCGAGTGTGCTCTTTGTGGTATTTTTTGCACAGGATTCGCGGCCTGGGTGCATGACAGAGCATCGCGAGTGCACCGCGCGATGACGTGAAATCGCTGGATTTGACAGAATTCTTAAGATTCCTATGGTTTTCCTATGATTTCAGCAAGAGAGCCCGGGCGGGAAATTTGTACAATTTTTGTGAAAAAGCATTGGGTTTTTGATGTTTTTATGTTGAAATGCTTGCAAACACACGGTGTTCGGTAGGATTCTGACATGAACGCGCGCGTGTGCTCTTTGTGGTATTTTTTGCAATGGATTATCGCCGTGGACGACAGGACGTCCATGTCGAGAGGAAAAAATAAGAAAAATGTTGATTTTGTATTGTTTTTTACAGGTTAGGATGGGACCACCCGGATGCGGCCCCTAATGGCCGGCCTGAGGGGGGAGTAGGAGTATATTCTAATAAGGAATAAGGATAGGAGTAGTAGTAGTAGTAGTAGTAGTAGTAGTAGTAGTAGTAGTAGTAGTAGTAGTAGTAGTAGTAGTAGTAGTATAGTAGTAGTAGTAGTAGTAGTAGTAGTAGTAGTAGTAGTAGTAGTAGTAGTAGTAGTAGTAGTAGTAGTAGTAGTAGTAGTAGTCAGTAGTAGTAGTAGTAGTAGTAGTAGTAGTAGTAGTAGTAGTAGTAGTAGTAGTAGTAGTAGTAGGTAGTAGTAGTAGTAGTAGTAGTAGTAGTAGTAGTAGTAGTAGTAGTAGTAGTAGTAGTAGTAGTAGCAGTGGTAGTGGTAGTAGTAGTAGTAGTAGTAGTAGTAGTAGTAGTAGTAGTAGTAGTAGTAGTAGCAGTAGTAGTAGTAGTAGTAGTAGTAGTAGTAGTAGTAGTAGTAGTAGTAGTAGTAGTAGTAGTAGTAGTAGTAGTAGTAGTAGTAGTAGTAGTAGTAGTAGTAGTAGTAGTAGTAGTAGTAGTAGTAGTAGTAGTAGTAGTAGTAGTAGTAGTAGTAGTAGTAGTAGTAGTAGTAGTAGTAGTAGTAGTAGTAGTAGTAGTAGTAGTAGTAGTAGTAGTAGTAGTAGTAGTAGTAGTAGTAGTAGTAGTAGTAGTAGTAGTAGTAGTAGTAGTAGTAGTAGTAGTAGTAGTAGTAGTAGTAGTAGTAGTAGTAGTAGTAGTAGTAGTAGTAGTAGTAGTAGTAGTAGTAGTAGTAGTAGTAGTAGTAGTAGTAGTAGTAGTAGTAGTAGTCGTAGTCGTAGTCGTAGTCGTAGTCGGAGTAGTAGTAGTCGTCGTAGTCGTAGTCGTAGTCGCAGTCGCAACCGTAGTCGTAGTTGTCGTCGTCGTTGTTGCGAGGTGGGCGCCGCGAAACAAATATATAAGTAGCTACCCCGTATTCGTGGGACCTTTGTCCTTCAGTAGGGCTGCCGAAAACAATTTCAATCACGTACCCCCCATTGCGGGAGGATTGCTAAAGACCCCTCGAGGTTAAGGACAATCAGTGTGTGTTGTTTTCTTGTGAGAGGCCTTAGGCGGCCACGGGAGGCCACTGGAGGCCACAGGATGCAACCGAAGACAGCGGGAGGCCACGTGAGGCAACGGACGGCCATGCCGCCCGACCGATTTCAGATCCGGCATCGCGCCGACTAGTATTTATAGCAACATGAGAACACATTCCCCGATCAGCGTTTGCATTGAACGGTTTCTAGGGACTTGGCGAAAGTAGCAGGCGATGTTTGTTGGGCGCCATGGTTCTTGGGTTCTGGTCCGGGTTCTGGCGACAGAGCCGTGCCTATGCCGGTGGTTGGCCAGGCTCCTCGGTTCGTGGTTCTTGGTGTGGGGCCCATTTTTGTGGGCGGCCTGGTTCCAGCAGTGGCGAAGCGTCCTGGCGTGCCTATAGCCTTACCAAACAATGTTCTAAGAACCTTCTGTGGTTTCCACGAAATGTTAGAACATTTCTGGCGGAGTCTGTCTTGTTGTAGTACATCGGGTTTATCTTCTAAGAACATTGTTTTTGTCCTTCGAACATGTGTGGGTTCTAAGAACATTTCGTGGTAGGACTATAGGAATGCCGGGACGGTTTGTCCCTGCTCAATTGGTTCTTTGGTTCCCAGGTTCCGAATTTGGGGTTCCCGACATTGCAACATGCATGGGTTTTCGGTTGCGGCGAAGCGCCCGGATCTTTGCGACCACAGTTCAAGGGACAGCAAACCGTGTATTTTAAAGTGTTTCGTTTGTGTTTGCCAGGCCCCATCCATGAAAAGTCAGCCGACTGGGTTTTGCGTCGCACGTCGGCCATCCCAGCGTTTACCCAACTTGCCCCCGACCCGCGTGGAACCCTGGGAGCTGCCAAGCGCTGGCTATTTGGCCAGCGGGGCCAGGCAGGTAGCGGGAGCGGCCACCAATCATTGCCGGCGACCCCCGAGGGCCCGACCGGGCAGGGCCCATTGGGCCTACCGACGCTCTGAAACCTCTTAACCGAAGGACTTGCGTTTTCTCAGGGTATAGATTTGTCCGTGCCCCCACGGGGCCTCGGGTGTTTCTCTTAGACCCCCGTTGCGTTTGAGGGTTCTCGGCCTTTTGGGAGTCTGTCATGGTCATCGATCGTGCGCCCGCGCCTTTGGCGGCCCTCGCGAGAGCTCGGCGCTGACCAGCCAGCCGGTCCGCTGGCCCCGAGGCGATCCATCCACACGTGATGGCGTTGGAGGGCCCCGAGTAGTGGGACCACGCCATGCCACACAATTCACCTCATGCCCTGGATAATAAATCATCCCTCCCCTTGAGTCTTGAGAGGTGGTTCCTTCCAGCCAAGACGGAGTGTGTTGGGGGAGAGGGGCAGCGAGGCCGAACTTCATTTCACCATTTCAGATTGCATACAGTCACGGACGTGTGGCAGGACTATAGTAGGTTCTCGCCATTGCAGTTTTCCCAAGTCACGAACTCGTGGCAGGGGTACGGTACTAACACCAGTTCAGCTTTCCTACGTTACGAACGTGTGGCAGCCGGACGACGACGACGACTCTCATTCCTCGCCATCCGTACATCCTACATACGATTTGCCAGGACGCATCGTTGATTATCCCTCGGGGACCCCGAGCTCGATTAGCCTGTTAGGTGTTATTCTCAGGGGCATGAGGTTCAGCCGTGCTTGTTCCCTTCATTCGTTTGGCGGCTCAGCAATCAGCGAGTATACGGTCGAGAGTAGAGAGTACGTATCAGCGAGTATAGCGCAGACTTGGATATTTATATCTGCACATGTATGGATCTCAGGTGTACACATATAAGGTTAGAGAGGGAGGGGCGAGATATAGAGAGAGAGAGCCTGCTATAATTATATACAGCGCAGCGAGGTGGTAATGCTGATTTATATCGAGAGAGAGTGAGAGGGATATCTAGGAAACAAGTCTGATTGAGAGAGGGGAGGCAACGCAGAGCAGGCGTCAGAGAGAAAGAGGTAAAGGTGTATCCCTCGTTGTATATATTGGCGATACGTTCTCATACATTTATATGCATATACATACTTACGTATGCATATGTATGTGCATTTTGATTTGCAAATGCATGTCAGTGATTGCATCAAGGACTTGAGTAAGTATTGAGAATCCAAGAGTGAGAGAGTGAGGGAGAACGAGCGATGGAGAGGGACAGGACGATATATTTAGAGAGGGGTTTAGACATATTATGACTGTGAGAGAGAG